ACAAACATTGATCAGCACGCAATAAAATCCAAACTCATCGTCTCTCTCAACTACAAGCGAAGATGAATTCACACCCTGCCGTCCGACGAATCTCCGAATGCTTCATCAAACCACCCCTTCCACCCGATGACTCTAATCCTATCTGCTACCTATCTCCATGGGATCTCGCTATGTTGTCTGCTCACTACATTCAGAAAGGCCTTCTCTTCCTCAAGCCTTTTTCTTCTGATCCGAACCATCCCGGTTTCATCCATTCTCTTCTCCGCCGCCTCAAGCAGTCTCTTTCTCTCACCCTCCTCCATTTTTATCCCCTCTCTGGCCGCCTAGTTACCACACGTGTTCCCTCCTACTCCGTCTTCGTCGAATGCCACAACGGTGATGGAGCTAGATTTATCTACGCTACTTTAGACATGACCGTCTCCGACATCGTCTCCCCCGTCGACGTCCCGCCGTTGTCCAATCATTCTTTGACCATGATAGAGCAGTCAACCACGACGGCCACACCTTACCTTTGTTGTCCGTTCAAGTCACTGAACTCATAGACGGCGTCTTCATCGGCTGTTCCATGAACCATTGCCTCGCTGACGGCACTTCCTACTGGAGATTCCTCAAGGCGTGGTCTGAAATCTTTCGAGCTCAAGAAGATGATAATAAGTATGATCAAAGTGATGTTCTCTGTATTCCCAATATCTCACACCCACCGATTCTCACTCGTTGGTTCCCAGAAGGTTGTGGTCCCTTAATCAATCTTCCCTTCAAACATCACGACGATTTCGTGAGCAGATTCGAAGCACCCCGTCTTAGAGAGAGAATATTCCATTTCACAGCAGAATCTATCGCCAGACTGAAAGCAAAGGCCAACCAAGAGGCCAATACCACCAAGATATCGTCATTCCAATCATTATCGGCGCTCGTCTGGAGGTGCATAACACGCGTACGGAGTCTCCCCCGTGATCAGAAAACAACCTGCAGGTTGGCGGCAAACAACAGATCAAGAATGGAATCGCCGCTGCCAGAGGATTACTTCGGGAACTCGATCCACGCGGTGGCTGCGGAAACGACGGCGGGGGAATTGCTACAGCACGACCTTGGGTGGGCGGGGCGGAAGATTCATGTGGCTGTTGCTAGCCATGACGACAAAGCAGTGAATGGGTTTCTGAAGAAATGGTTGGAGAGTCCGATGGTGTATCAACTGAGTCGGTTGTTTGACCCGTATAGCGTCATGATGGGGAGCTCACCCAGATTCGACATGTATGGGAACGAATTCGGAATTGGGAAAGCGGTGTGTGTTCGAAGTGGGTACGCCAACAAGTTTGACGGGAAAGTGACGTCGTATCCGGGCCGTGAAGGAAGAGGAAGCATAGATCTGGAGATGTGTCTTCCGCCGGAGTTGATGACTGCCCTGGAGTCCGACGACGAGTTCATGAACTCTGCATCTCTGCAAACTGTTTCGGCGGAGTTTTGATCTCCTGTTACGCGTTCGTCCACATAACAAGTCAAATGTCTCTGCATGTCATCACGTGATTTTGGATTAAAATAAATTTTGAATAATTAAATTAAATAGCCCTTTTAAGCAAGATGCGATGTGTTTTTGGTCTAAGCCGCCGAACCTAATCCCCTTTGCTTAATATTTTTGACCGGAATTATAAATTAAAGATCGGTTTTTTTATACCTAATCTTTCATTTGGAATTTATAATTCCGGTCAAAAAATTCAGTTTTTTATACATAAAAAGAAGCAAAGTTTCTACTTCAAAGGCATCTCTCCATATAAATATATATATTTATATATATATTCATTAGAAAAAGAGGTTACCTTTATTTGATTTCTTGATTGATATAAAGGTCCCCCAAGTGGAAATATAATAATGTGGTGGGCTGGTGGCTGATACTTAAACTATTATTAGTTTGACAATTTTCTCTGGACGAGATGTGGAATGTTATCATCGGAAATTGAACACAATATTTTAATGCGTAAAAAGTAAGCATTTCCTGTAATATTTTTAGCAGCACAATGCAATTAAAATTATAATTAATATTTTTAATTATTTAAGTATAATTTTTTTCAGATAATCGTAGCATCATATATATATATATATTGATGATTTAGAATTATTTTGTTTCAAATTCCATCCGTTTTCCGATTAAAAAAAAAAAACTCGTCTGATCATAATTATTAATACTTGTGGAATCATTTGATTCCAATCTACTATTGTAATCCATTCGTCAATTCATTTGATGTTAATTCTTATAAATCGAAGATATGAATTTTAAAAATAAATAAAAATTTAATATAATTATTTTAGTATGATATACTCCAAGAAAAAAATACTCACTCCAAAGTTGACAAAGACTAATTAGCTCCACCTGTCAACGGCCTATTAGCTCAGTTGGTTAGAGCGTCGTGCTAATAACGCGAAGGTCGCAGGTTCGAAACCTGCATGGGCCAGATTTCAAGTTTTATATTCCTAATACCAGCTAAACGAATCGTTTTGGCATTGACTTTCCGAGTTAAGACACGGACTTTCCTGTCCAAGAATTTCCAATGGGCTTTACGTAATCCAAAACTACATAGTACATAAATGAATCCCATGGCCCAACGAAAAATTTAGGAATTTAGGGGAAATTTTTAGTTTAAACTTTTAAATATGATTGGCGCATGCTTAATTTTGTTGAAATAGATTTATATCTCTCTTAAGTTTTTTTCATGGAAGAAGTTTCTGGGTGATGTTGAGAATAAACATTTAAATTAAAACGTTTAGGGTTTAGCTATTATAATTTACATGAATTACATTCCAAAACACAATAAAGATATTAATATGTTTTTTTAAAAATAAATAAAATAACACTAGATTTATCTACGCATATGATCTGTCATAAATATTCGTTTATCATCGTCCTTTAAAAAATAGCATCCCTATGATTTAATGTAATGTTTCATGATAATGATGGTCATTTGCTGTGTCCACCACGAAAACGATAACAAGAGACAAAAATAAATGAGCTCTAGCTATTGCATATGCATATATATACATATGTACACATTTGGGATCACAGTGAAAATTCCATAAAAACACATTTTGTGTAAGCCGAAACAAAATTCTTCTTACATACTTACCTCGTATTTCGTAAATCACTATTGAAAATCTACTTATAAGCTGTTCTAAACAGGTCTTATTACATGTCAATCTTCACCTATATACATATATATATATATATATATATATTAGCTAGCTAATTTTTTTGACCAGAGTATTAGATAGCTAATTTGCTGATCATATTTTTATAGTAATGTAATGACAATGGCGTAATTTTCGGATAACAATGTTGTACCTAATGCAAGTATATATATTTTACCAATATTACAATCAACATGATGGTGTTGGAAAAACCTTTTTTTAAAAAAAAAAATCTCAACTCACCGGTAACTTTCTCCATGAACACGAGTACGTATAAAAACCACACAACTTTTGGGCTTTGTTATCAGAAAATTTCCAATGGGCTTTACTTTAATTCCAAACTACGTAAATAAATCCTATGTAGAGTTAAGAACACTTAATTAGGCCCAACGAAAAATTTAGGAAGGGAGAATGACAGGAAAAAAAATCACTAAATTTCAAATCAAATTTGATAACAATATTTTATTTGATATTGACAATACTGAATTTGCAAGTGACAAAATTTTTTGTTGATATTCCTTATTTGGTATTTACAAATTTCTAGCTTCTTTTTTTGTCATTTTCTTATTTAGGAATTTAGGTGAAATTTTTAGTTTAATTTTTTAAATATAATTTGTACTTCTATATTTAGGATCAAAGAGACCATTTTAATATTTTTTAAAAAAAATAGAATGAAGCATATAATTGGCGTATGCTTAATTTTCTTGAATTATGTTGAAATAGATTTATGTCTCTTTTAAGTTCTTTCAATATGGAAGAAGTTTCTGGGTGATGTTTAGAATAGACATTTAAATTAAGACGTTTAAAGTTCAACTATTACAATTTACAAGCATTACATTCCAAAAGATAATAAAGATATTAATATGTCGTTTAAAAATAAAATAACATTAGATTTATCTTCACAAACGATCTGTCATAAAGATTGGTTTATTATCGTCGTCTCTAAAAAGAAAAAGCATAATTCTTTTGATTTAATGTAAAGTTTCATGACATTTTCTGGATGCGTCTCTGGTGACCCCAAAACAGCATGCAAATACAATTTCATTACGATTATCCTTTTTCTCTTTTTTTTAATTACTTTTCATGTCTAGGGTTTACATTAAAATCTGCAGTACTGTCCTGCAAAATGGTGAGAACGAAACACGTTTTATTTTTTTTAGTGCCTCTGTGAAAAATAAAATAAATTGCAGAAGGTATATATTAAATGAGGGAATTGTTTTTTTTAATGAAAGATCATATGAAGAAAGGCCTTTTGATAAGAAGTAAATAGTGCATATTTTATAATGATTGATATACGTTGATCTCCCATGTTGTGTCTGCCAGAAAAATCTTAACAAGAGACAAAAATAAATGAGCTCTAGCTATTGCAGATGCATGTGTGTGTGTATTTATTAGCTCGCTAATGTTTTTTGACCAGTGTATTAGCTAGCTAATTTGCTGATCATTTTTTTATAGGAGTATTATATATAATGTAATGACAATGGGGTAATTTTTGGATATTGATGTTGTACTTAATACAAGTATATATATTTTACCAATATTATAATGAGAAAATTTAAAAAAAAATGATCTTTAAATTTCAAAATTCCAAATCAAGAATTACTACAAAAATGTGTTGTTATTTAATTTTTGAATGTAGTTATTTTTTTTTTATGAATGTAGTAACCAATGCTGATTGAGAATTTTGAAATTGAACCGTCACTTTTTTGAGATTTTTCCTATTAATCAACATGATGGCGCTGCAAAAACCTTTTTTTTTTTTTTTAATAACCTGAACTCACCTATAACTTTCTTAATGAACACAAGTACATATAAAAACCACACATTATCATAGTTCATTATATTGTAAATGAAATTTTTTTCCGGCACACCACAAAAACCACACCCGAAAAAAAAAATAGACCAACTGAAGGGCCCAAAAAACCCCAACAAAAAAAATACAAAAAACAAAAACAAAAGGCAAGAGATGATTTTAGTGTGATGATGGTAGTAATATATATGGTAGCTGATACTTGTCCTACTAGATCTTTATAAAGACCTGTGTTCGAGGATATTAAGGTTATTAGTCCTTTGTCTCTTAACAGCCCCACTTGCTGTGTCATCTCCACCGCCACTCTTCTCCATCACAGCCCTAAGAGCTTCTTGTATCGAGTTTATACAATATTGTTGTTGCTGCATCATCTGGTTCTGATGATGAAGCTCGCCGCTGCTCTGTGAATCGCCGTCGTCTTCCCCGGTGATGAACAACACATTCTTCACGCGTCCACCAAGTGTGGTGATTTCTGCTTTCAGGGTTCTCAGCTTTAGTGCTTTCAGTGTCTTGATGAGTTCCGGCAAGAGATCTGACCTGTCCTCGCAGCAGAAGGAGGCTTTGATCACGACCTTCCCGTCGTCGTCCTCGTCGGCGGCGTCCACCGTCAGCTCGTCGACCTCCGTCGGCACCGGGCTTGTTTCTGCTATTAACGACGTCTGCCGCTTCAGTTCCTTCACATGCTGAATCACTTCTGCCAGCAATGATGCTTTATCCGTCTACAAATAATAATAACAAAAAAAGAAAGTTATATATCCATTTGTCTTGCACTGCGAAAATACAGTGGTCGTGGAGGAGAGTCTTTAATTATGGGGCTTTGCGTAAAGAAGACACATACATAGTAAAGTAGTATGTACCGAGGAATTAACATGAAGACATATAGAGTACTGGACCACTTAATCCATCATAGTTTTATACGAATCAATATCATACACATAACCTTAAACAAAATATGGTTCCTTTCTAATTGAATTGCTCTTGATCATCATGAGCTAGCTTATAGATGTAACCTTAAAATAAGAATGGATGCAGAAAAACATCATAGTACAGATATTGTGTGTTGTTGTCAAAGGTTAGAGGAGAGGAAGAGGAAGAGAGAGGCACGCATATAAACTATAGGTATGCAGAATGAAGATTTGAGTGACTGAAAAGGAGGCTTATAGCTTTGTCTGGTGTCTGTGTAATTCTTTTTATATATATTCCATTCTCATCAGAACTGAGTTTGACTGATCATTAACGTTATCCAGCATGTAATTTCAATGTCTAGCTTTTCAACTGCTCTTTGGTTCCTCTTTATCATGTCAACTAAGCGACATTAACGCTAATTCACTTTTTACTTTTCTCTGATATCTTTCCTTCCTTTACTTTCTCTCCTCCTTGGAACTACCACACTCAACTTAACTACACCCCCAAGCAACACGCCCAATATTTGGATATATAATTAACCAGAACTAGCAAAGCCAAAAAAGAAAAGGGTAAAAAGTAGTGTGACTAATGACTATATCTTTGCACCTCATTTTCTAAAAGGCTTTTGGGATTTCCATCTTGTTGTTATCCGACCAAACTGATTACAATCTTGGAAAATGATTCACATATCCATATCTCTTTTTAATTCCCAAAACAAAAGCCAAACCATCTCATTATAACCGCGGAACACACCCCAAAAGGGTTCAGCCAAAAAACAAGCATACTTTTATGTAAAACTCATGGTGTTGTTTAAAAAAATTAAGATTTGCGATTAACTTTAGGATGGAATAGTTCAAAATAGTTCAATTTTGTGGAATTTGTACTTACTTTGGTCGTACTGGGCAATAAGCTGCGAAGCTTGGCGAGATGGTTATTGATTCTCTCTCGGCGTCTCCTTTCAGCTTCACTGTGACTCTTGGACGCCGCGAGGGCCTTAGCGTCCATAATTTCTTGAGCAGTCATCTTGCCCAATTCGGCTTGGAGACCGAATGGAGCAGAACCGGGCTGAACCATGGGTCCAAGAGCCTCAGATAAGATCCGGAGATGGTCGGAAGGTGAACCGTCGTACGCAAACTGCAGAGAAGGAACCCTCCTGTTAAATAAACTAGCATAGGGTCCAGCTGGGGGAGGAGGTGGGGGAGGAAGAAGAAACGGGTCATGCTCGACTCGAACCGGATTCGAAAAGTGATGATGATGATGATGAGCCACCTGGTTGAAGGAATGAACCGGCGGGATGTTCCACGGCGACTGTAGGATCGGAGAAACCTCCGGAAACATACTGTTCTGTTGCTGCATCTGTTGCAGAAGTAATTGCTCTTGATAACTGTGGAAGTTGTTTATTGCTTGTGAAGAACACTGCCCATAATCGTCCTCTCTTTTCATCTCCAATATATTCCAAAACTATATATGATCAAATGTATTAGAACACCTCAGAGCGGAGATATAAATGTACACACAGACGTGATCAGCTTCTAGTTCTTGAGGTCGAGGTTGGCTCTGTATAATTTTTCTTGGGCGTGATATGGCCAAGACAAGAGTGGAAGAAGAGAATATCGTGAGGTTAGTGATAAGAGAAGAGAAGAGAACAGAACACAGACCTTAAGTTGTAAGAGTTTCTCCTCTGATATGCGATGATGGTGCAAGAACAAGAAGAAGAAAGAAGAAGAAGAAGGATGGAAGTGGGATCTCAAATCTCTATCAGACTTGGTAGGTTTTTTTTGGCTGTGAGGGAAAGAGGTGAGAACGACCCTTTTTATCCTAAGCTTGATGAACACAACTTTCCTCCTTTCTTTTTCTTCGCTTTGTTGGTAACTTTTTGGGTTTATATTTTTGTTTTTTTCTCATGGGTCTTCTTAGAACCCCACCACCTTCCTCTAAGTATACAGAAAGAGCCTGTTCGACTACTGCTTTCTATATAATATTATTCTTTTCTTCTTACGGCGGCATATTAATTCTCAGGAACGGTGAGGCAGGCATCTTTATCGGAAAGATTATTTATTTTTACAGAATATATTATATTAATCTACAGTATCATAAGCGTATGTGAAAGAACAGTGATAAATTGTTTTAAGCTTGTGATTGGTTCAAAGTGTATTATGACACTATGTGAATGATGGGACTTAGGGAAGAGAGAGAGAGGGAGAGGGAATGGGAAACACAAGCACAACACAAGCAGAGAGTGAACACACAACGCGAACATTGTCGACCGACCAAGGACCAAAAAAAGGCTGATAGTATCATCATGATAAAAGGCTTACCCTAGCTAAGCCTTTTCTTTTATTTTTCTTTGTTCATTTATTTAGTTCTCATAATATGTATATATTTTTATATTGTAAAGGGAGTTCATCTTTTTAGCCTTTAGGCTTTATTTTTTTATTTTTTTATTTTTTTTTTGGCTCTCTCCCTTTCTCTCTTCTTCTCTCTCGTACCTCTCGGTCAAGCCACGTTCTTCCATGCTCTTGGGCTATTTCCACTTGAACCCTTTCTGCGTCCCCAAGACCATGTAATGATTGAATCTTGAAACATACTCCACCTCCACCTCTCTCTCCCTCTCTCTACAAAGTTCATGTTCTTTTCTCTCTCTAGTTTTTCATGAGTGTCTTGGTTTCAGTTATATCTAGGTGCAATATATATTCGTGGCTCTCATTACCCCTGTCCTTTTGGAAGCTCTATATCTTAAAATTTTATCTCACACACACACACACACACACACATACATAGGATGTTTAATAATGTTTGTAGATGGATAGTTAGTGGAGGTTGTCTATTGATTAAGGACAAGACATTAGACAATGCTTTGAATTTCTATGTTTTGATGGAACATTAGAAGAGCACACTGAGAGAGAGAGAGAGAGAGAGAGAGAGAGAGAGAGAGAGAGGAGCCTTCATCTTTACGTGGGCATGCAGTAATGTGCCTGCTGTATAAAATCAAGTATTGCTCAAGCTTCAAGTTTCCATCTTAACTTTAGGATCTTCTTGTTATTATTATATTTATCGATTCTTTCATCATTTCACTTTATGAACTCTGCTCAAACTACTTGTATTATTACATGATTTTATGTATGTACTATACTTTGACCAGCCCCCTTTATTTCTCATTAGTTAATTACAATATATACATATGTTTTGAGGCCATAAGTAAATTGTAATTGTGATTATATATGGTTATGGTTGTTTTGCAAGGTAATATACAATACAATCCTTACATATCATAATTTATAATGACATGTCTGGTGTGTTTTGCGAATTTCATTGCAAATAACTTATTACGTCTGTAGTTAATTAATTAGGATGATGGTTCATAATTTTTGTTTTGGCCATTGACAAGTTTAAACATATAATTCTTAGTTGCATCAACTCATAGTTGCATTTGCCTTATCGATATCTATAAAATATTCGTTAGTATAATGCCTACCTCCCCTCTCTACCGCACACTGACACACACAAGCATAAGAACACACACAGGCCCGCGAATATCGGCTCCTAAACGTAGGACCTACTTAACAAGATGGTTTTGATTATAAATATAAGATCTTAATCAATTTTTATCTCTCATATTTACTACCTCTGACTTCTTATATAAGAGCTACTTAATTAATTTGGATGGATTACGGAACTTAATAAATGAGTTCTTTGTAACAAATATGGGTTAATTTCTCTAAAATATCTTTTTAATTATGACTACTTTTGGATGGTATCCTATTTAATACGTGTATCCAATATGAATATTTTAGATATTATAAGTTTGAGATAGAAAGTGGATTAAATTTTTGTATGTAGGATCAAATCAAACCCCCTAATTAACTCTTATACTAAGGATCAGAGGTAGTATTATTTCTCTCCAAACTAATTTATCAAACTTATAAATTAGCAATATAGATACAATCTAATGTTACATAGAGATATTCTAAGAAGATCATTTCAGATTTATTAAAATTAAAAAATTTATTTAGCTTCCTTAATCTATCTAAATTAATTAAATAACAATTTACATTAACCTCCAGATGAGTGTACACACACACACGATCTTCTAGCCAGGTAGCATCCTAACTTATAATTTTAAGGTATATTGTGTTTGTCTGGCTTGTTGAAGCAAAAGAAAGAAAAGGACAGAGAGTTAGGGGAGAAGATAAGGGTGCAGTAAGGTGGGTTCATGACTCAAATTTGCTTCATATAGAATAAGCCAAAAGAATAACCTAAATCTCCAAAAGCATGCATAAAAAGTTGTGGCTGTATTTTACAAATTTTAAATCCATAAGTGCGCTTATACATATTATAACATCGATCGTTACACACACACACACATATATGTCTAAACCATGGGATAAAGTTAAATACTAAAATTCATTCTGTCTCATACTTCTTCCGGTCTTATATATAAGTTTCAAATAACTGAATCACACTTAATGAACTCGTAGTTAAAATTACTTAAAAATAATAAATATTTGTACGTCAGAAATATATTTTTTCCCCTAAATTTGCCCTTATTTATTAAGAGAGTAAATGAGAGACAATAAACAAAAAAAATGATGAAAGAGAATATGTGAGAGCAATATTAATGAGAGAGAGATATATAGTAGTAAATATAGTCAATTAAGGGCAAAACAGAGGAAAAAAAGTAATTAATGCTTAGACAAACTCAAAAATAAAGCTTATATTTTGGAGCAAACCCATTTCTAAAAGTGAAGTTTATATATAAGAGCAAAGGGAGTATATAAGAAATTTGTTTTAAAGGTTGGTTTAGTCTCAAATATGAAAAACAAGTAAGCAATATCCGGTTCAGTAACTGTAACATTCCATTTCTGCCCTCTATTGATATAGCAACATAGTGCTGATAAATCGTGAAGCATATCCATTTATTTTTCATACCCATGTTGGGAAATAACTTTTTAAAACAAAATTAAGAACTTAATTGTGTGTTTTTAACTGATTTTATTAATTCATGTAAGTTATTTCTTATATAATAGATTAGAGAAAGTATTAGAAATATAAGTTTTAACTTGAATATAGGTATGATTTTGTTTTTCGTTCATTATTGTGTAAGTTGTTTTTTTTTATTAGAAAGTATTGTGTATATATTGAATATGGATTCAGGCAAAAAAGTATGTATTGAATGTGGAAAAGATTAAAAACTTATGAATTTTCAAGGCAGAGCCAACAAAATTTATTTATTTTTAGTTTTGATAAAATATATTAGCAGTTAATAGGACCAGAAGAATATTAATTATGCTACAAATGCTAGGCTAACAATGATTTAATAACTCCACACGCACACTAGTTTGTATTTAATAAAATTAAAACAAATTGTTAGTAAGTGATTTTTAAGTGTTTTTGTAGGTACCGTTAATACCTATATATATATATATATATATAATAGATATATATGATCCAACCCAATTATTTTGCTGGTCAAAAAACCTAATCAATTATTTTTTTCACAAAAATATTCCATTCCCTTCAAAAAATACACAATTTCACTCTTGATTTATTGTTCTTACTTTTTTTGGACTTCTCACTAATACGTATTCCATAAATACTCTTCTAGTCCTATTCATAGGATAGAGAAAAAATGTATTTTTTAGTTTATTCATAGAGTACCGAGAGAGATTTTTTATAACCCTTTATTTATCATTGTATTGACTATGTTTACATGATGCATCATGTATATTAAATAGGGATAAAGTCGGTTAGTTGTTGAATTTTAAATGAAAGTTAATGAAGTTTAATATTTTTTTAGTCTATATGAAACATGTTGGAAGTGACTTATAAGTAATACCAAAAGAGTATCAAGTTAGAAAATTACTTTATTAAATTTTGAGAGTCAATAATTAATAAATCTGACAATTATATTACATAAATATAAAGTTACTCTATCAAATTTTAACAGAGACTTAATAAATCTGACAAAAGAAAGAGATAAATTAATAAAGTTTAAATATTTTTTTGAGTCCCAATAAAATATATTGAAATTCCCTTATAAATGGGTACTTCCATTATGTTTACCCGAATTAGGAAAACGTTTCTAGGCATTAATTAATACTCGTAGATAGGGATGAAAGCACCGAAAGAATATAGCATGTGACGTTTGGGTTGGGAAGGGTTGAAAGAAAAGAGATGATAGATTTTACCAATTACTTGTTGACACGTGGCGCGTTCTCTCCAGACCCCTCCTCCTTTATCTTTATTAATGAACCATTATAATTAGTGGTTAATTACCCCTCCCTCATTGGTCCACACAAAAGGTTCAAACTGATTATGTCTGTAACCTGCCAAATCTCTTCACCCATATTATCGGGTCTTATTGATAACTCATTTTGAACAAATTTCATATAAATTAAGAAAAATTTTAAATTCCACTAACTCTATATTACAATTTAACAACTTTTTAATTTTATCTTTATTTAGTATGTATTATCCTACATGAAAATAAAATCAACACAATAATAAATAGATGATAAAATTGCATATTCATGTTAAAAGTTTCCCTCTCTGTCTTATAATAAATACGACCAATATATGTATTCATATATATAATCAACATGAATGATACTATACGAACAAAACTATCAGATAATTTTGATTATTATATGATATTCTAGCTAGCTATGAGAACATGTTATACAACTAAAATTACTGCAATTCATAAAATGGTCGAGAAAGGGGATATTCACGAAAACATC